CAAAAGAGACGAACACTCTCAGCATTTCTCAAGCTGAAAGAACTGAAGAAAAAATTTAAGCTTCAACTTAAAATAGTGAAGGATTCTATGGGCACAAGATTGAATGATGCAGAAAGCTTTTTTTAAAAAAAAAGAAGAAGAAGGAATACACAGAGCTACTGTACTAAAAAGAAATGGTCAATGTTCATCCATTTCAAGAGGTAGCATATGATCAAGAGCCAATGAGACTGAAGGAAGAAGTCCAAGGTGCACTGAAGATAATGGCAAAGAATAAGACTCTGGGAATTGAAATTGAAATCTTTCAACATAGTGATGCATCACCGGAGGCACTTATTCATCTATGCCAAAAAATTTGGAAGACAGCTATGACCAACTGATAAGAAGACATTCAGACTTGTGCCCATCCCAGAGAGAGGTGACCCAGCAGAATGCAGAAATCATTTAACAATATCATTACTATCACATGCTAGTAGAACTTTGTTAACGAGAATTCAAAAATGGCTGCAACAGGACATCAACAGGGAACTGCCAGAGAGTCACCCTGGATTTAAACTAGGACTTGGAATGAGGGATATCAGTGCTGACACCTCCTCTCCTTCCCTCCCCCGCAGTCCCACCGTGGGCAAAGCAAGATGGATTGACACAGTGGCAGCAGCAATGGACTCAAACATAACAACAATTGTGAGGATGCCTCAGGACCGGGTAGCGTTTCACTCTGTTGTGCATAAGGTCACTATGAGTCAGCACCTACTCAACAGCACCTAACAACAACAACTAACAGTTTAGCTTCTTTGGTTGAACTTTGAACTTTTTAAGAAGCTTTAATTGATTGTGTGAAATCCCTGGCATGCCCTTAAAAAACAAAAACAGACCAAAAGAAGATATCCAGACTCAAACCACAGGGACATCAATGGTTTATGTGGATTTGTACCCACTGATTTTTACAGCCAGTAGTCAAAGAATTCAAAATAAAAACTAAGCAGAATGCTTATTTACTTTTGACTAAGATCAAGTACATTATAATGATTATATAATATACAGATGTCTCTTATGTTTTCTAAACCATAAATCCATCCACAAAACTCAATTGATACTTTCCTTTCTTTCTTTTTCTTTTTTGCCTTTTTGCTACATGGATTTTGCAAAACTTTACACCAGAGGAGTCCTCAAAATATTTTGGTCTGTGCATTGCTTGTTCTGGGAGACACACTACTGCCCTTAGCTTGTCCCTGCCACAAAACTTCACAACAAAAAGAAATAATGTTGACCAGACAGAAGATATCTCATTTTTATTAATAATTTCACTAAATTATGAAAATATTTCAGAAATTAAAGCACAGATATTACCACATTAAAAATAAAAGTCCTTCCTTCAATTATGCAAGGGCAATCCTACACAACACTTTTGAAAATGACTAGTCTACAACTCTGATGATGCTTTTTGCATTACCAATACAAATGCTACGCTCTGTCAAAACCGTGGTCTTGGGGGACACCAAGGTCAATTGGCATCACATAATCCACAAAGACAATGCTCTCCATCCTACTTTGATGAGGAACAACTAAGGTCATAAAAGCTCATGAGAGGTCATCTAAGGTGTAACTATTGGTGTCTCCTTATCCAGAGCAAAAAAGAGCTAAGAAAATCAAAGATGCACAGAAACAACTAGTCCAATGAACTAATGGACCACACAAACACCAGCCTCCATGACACTGAAACCAGAAAAACAATATGGTGCTTGTCTACCACTACCAACTGTTCTGAAAGGGATCACATTGGAAGGTCCTGGGCAGAGTGGGAAAAAATGTGGAACAAAACTCAAAATAATTTAAAAATAAAACCAGAGACTGGCAAAACCTTGAGACTATGGTCCTTGGTTACCTTTCAGGTCTGGAACTGAATTTACACCCATGATTCAATTTTCAGCCAAGCAATACATAGGTGTATAACGGGGACTAGTGAAATACACACACCATAGAGTGGTCAAACATTTGAGATTAAAAGGGCAGTATCTACTCAAGGACCAAGTTCAGAAGGGTTGGGAAAGGAGGAGGAATGGAAACAAGAAACACAAGAAGGAAGTATGATAAGTGATATTACATTGTCGGGATTACATCATTGAGATGAAATTAAGTGTATGATTTGTCAAAGGTAAAACTGACCATCTGCTCTGAAAACCTTCACTCAATTCACAATAAAAAGTTTAAAAAAAAAAAAAAAAAACAGCAGTCTTGCTGGTTGAATAGTGACTATGGCCCTTAGTCACATTTCAGGTCTGGAAATGAACTCACCCCAGTGACTTAATTTTCAGAAAAATAATATGCAAGTATATAAGAGGAACAGTGACACTAAGGAATTATTCATACCTTAGAATCAACAACCATTTGAGATCAAAAGGGCAGCATTTACCCAAGACAAAGTTCAGAAGGGTTAGGAAAAAAGGAGGAATGGAAATAAGAAACACAGGGAGAAAGTGGACTAAGTGATGGTCTATTGTGGAAATTACAATCAATGACATGAAAAAAAAATGTGTGTGAACTGTTGAATAGAAAACTGATTTGCTCTGTAAACCTTCACCCATTCACAATAATAGTTAGGTGTGTTTATTTTTTCATTCTATGCTCTGCAAAATGAATAAAAGGAGATTATGTATTCATCTGCTAATTGCAATAAGACAAGCAAATTCCTTCTCTAAGATCTCAATCTCAACCTTCAACACTAACAAAAAGAAAAAATATAGACATATACATAAAATTTAAGAAGAGTTAAATTGTCTCATAGACATGCTAAAGCAAATGGAAGAAATTACAAGGTACAAGAGCTAAAAAGAAAATTTCAAAGATCAGCTCAAGAAGATAAAGCCAAATATTACAACCAAATATGCAAAGATCTGGAGTCAGAAAACCAAAAGGAAAAACACACTCAGCAATTCTCAAGCTGGGGAAACTGAAGAAAAAATTCAAGCCTCAATTTTTGTTATTGAAAGATTCTCTGGGCAAATTATTGAATGATGTAGAAAGCATCAAAAGAAGAAGATGGAAGGAATACACAGAGTCACTGTACCAAAAGGAAATGGTTAATGTTCAACCGTTTCAAGAGGCAGCATATGATCAAGAGCCAATGATATTGAAGGAGGAAGTCCAA